CTGTGTTTACAGCTTGAGTTACTCCAGGTCACTATCCCCCCGCCCCCATCCCATCCAGACCTTTCTGAATGGCTTTCTGTCTACAGGGTGCTGGGTTGCCGCTTTTCCATGGTGCCATTTTCATCTCACCAGTCCACAGCTGGGGAATGGTGTGGTTCCACTAAGCTACTATTTGCAATGTTCTTTTCCCTTTGCTGTTCCTGCCCATACCTTGCACCCAGCTGATTGTCTACAGATATAGATTAGTGCACAGTAGCCCCCTGTGAGTGGGGTTCGAGGGGACATGCTGTGGTGATGGGGAAATGGGTCAGGGGATCCAGAGGAGAGATGGCCTGTCTCTGTGCGGTGGTAATCCATCTCTGTGCCTATAGACCTGACCCTAGAGACTGGCATGAGGGTGGCAGGGTGTGGGGAAGGCTGATAGGGCATGGAGTCACAGGGCATGTGGAAAACTGGCTGGGCATGGGATCACAGGGCATGGGCAAAGCTGGCAGGACATGGGGTCACAGGGCATGGAGAAAGTGGCAGGGTATGGGGTCACAGGGCATGGATAAAACTGGCAGGGCTTGTGGGTCTGAGGATGTGGGGAAGGCTGGCAGGGCACGGGGTCACAGGGTGTGGGGAAAGCTGGTAGGTCATGGGGTCACAGGGCATGGGGAAAGTTGGTAGGGTATGGGGTCACAGGGCGTGGGGAAAGCTGGCAGTGTACGGGGTCACAGGGCGTGGGGAAAGCTGGTAGGTCATGGGGTGAGAGAGCGTGGGAAAAGCTGGTAGGGCTTGGGGTCACAGGGCGTGGGAAAAGCTGATAGGGCTTGGGGTCACAGAGCGTTGGGAAATTTGGTAGGGCATGGGGTCACAGGGCGTGGGGAAAAGGGTCTATCATGCTTGTTTAAGATGCTTGCCTTCAGGGGCTTTTCAGGCACTGTTTAAACTTGTCTGCTCACTCTGGATGAGCTCACAGACTTGGATTTCTGGTGCCAACAAATGTAAAGCAGTCTGACAGCCCCAGCTGTAAAAATGATCATGGTTTTATAGCTGTTATGTCATGTTTTGAAACCCCTGAGCTGAGCACTCTTACTCAAGGTTCTCTCCTCTGTCGTCAAAGGGGCCTGTTTCCTTATTTTACAGAACCATGAACGGCTCAGGATTTTGCTTTGTTAACAGGGCCTAAAATGCTGACACCCCCCATGACCCCCATGTCTTTCACTGGACCAGTAATTCAGACAGAGCAACGGAGAGACCTGGCCCTTGGCAGATTGCCAGCGGGAGGCCCCATGCTCTGCCCAGAACACTTGGCTGGCTGGCAGTGGAAGGCCCCACATTCTGTGAATGATCAATATGCAAGTCATCACATGTAAGTCAAAACAGTTCCACAGCACTCAAACACATAACCTTCACACTGGGCTAGAGAACAAGGCAAACGAATGGAGCGACGGCTAAGTTAAATGACCCGTTGACGGTTAATGCCGGGCCCCACCAGACAACCCCCCCCCAAAACTGTCAGGAGCATGCGCGTGTGCTGTTCTTTCCATTGGCCTTCACAAGGAAACTAAGGAAATTTGTCAGCCTGCAGGCCAGGCCAGCTGGCTCCTCCCAGCACACTCGCTGCTGAGGTTGGGAGGTGGTTGGAGTGAGAGGTGTGAGCGCTGAGGACCCCCATCCCAGGCCTCGCCTGGCGCGGGGACAGGGACTTGCTCCTGTCCAGGGGAGGAACCTCAAAATGAGCTGGATAAAGCTGGGCTCACATGAGCAGATGTTCCTGCTCCTGCCTGGCAGTGCTGATTTGGTCTGACTGTTGAATTGACTTTCATGGCGGTTTTGTAAAGGGCTTCTTCAACTCAAAAAACGAAGCGGTACAGGCATCAAATGTGGATGAGCTCCCTCAAGAACACGGGTTTGTATGTGAAGTTTGGAGTTGTTACTCATGTGACTCCATTGTCTCCTGGTATTTACATATAGAGATAGTCTACCTGACCAGCTAATCTGTGAGCACTGTGCACGGAAAGGGGCATTAAGTGAAAAACTCTTTATGTGGTCATTTTTAAACAGAATGGGGACAGGCTGAAATCCGCACAGCCTGATTCTCTGAGAGTGTTGGACGCCTCTCTCCTTGGGCTGAGATCCCAGCCTTATCTTGCTGTCCTGCTGGAAGCCGAATCCATGAGCTCTGCTCTCCTTCTGGAGTAACTGAGAGCTTATGGAGCACATGCTCCTCAGAACAAAGATATAAGAAAACAAAACTAAAAACAATGGAAAACAAAAGTTTGTGTTGTGTACAGTGCCTTCTGTCTCTCCAGGGCAATAAGTACCGCAGTTTGAACGAGTCACCCTTGCTTGGCTCGCTCCCTGTTGAGCTGTTTAGCTGATTCCTGAGCTGTTATGAGCAAGCCTGCTCAGGCGCTGATTTAGAGAGGAACTGCTCATAGCCAACCTGATAAGAAACCAGAACTATAGGAAGTTGGGTTTGTGTCAGTTTGTATACTTAAGGTAAAAGGATAGAGGACAATTTCAGGTTCTTAGTGCTTTTGTCATGACAAGCCACTTGCTTAGTGCTATGGACCACTATTGTTTTTGGTAGGATTTTTCTTTTTCTTCTTCTTATTATTATTATTATTATTATATTTAATATACCAAGGAAGGCAGTAAATATGAGGAATCTTCAGCTTAAACTATGTGGCAGAATGGTAGTATTGTATTTTGTGTGTATATACAGCATATTATGTGGTATAGGAATAACTTGATATCAGTATACGATCGGCCCTGTAAATATTACTCTAGTTACACTTTGGCGGAAGGGCTACAGGTGAAGGATAGAGTCACCTGAGTGTGTAGAAGACCAGCTCTGAGTGAAAGTGCCCTGCTGAAATTCCCTGCAGGAACAGGAAATATTTTTCCCACTCCTACCTAATTCTTTATGAAGATGATCCCCTGAGGTCACCTGTGGGTATATTTGACTACTCAAGGAAAACATGTGTCTGGCTCTTCATTGTCCCTTCTAGGCCTAGTTGGTGTTTTCTGTGAAATTACAGATTATCACCTGAAGTCAGATTGTCACCACAGTTGCTGCTGTGCCGTACCTGGGCCAACACCTCCATCACCATGCCATGTAACATCAGCAACATACCAAAACACAATGCATAGTGCCACAACAGGTGCGTCCTGGGCCTGGCCTGCCATTCCAAATGAAGTTTTTGAGCAGGAAGTAGCACATGGTCAGGGTTACATTAATATATCATTTTTAGTAGCGACCTTATGCCTTTATGATTTAGAAATGTGACCAATAATTTCTGTCCAATAATTTTATATCTAGACTAATACCCCCTCTCTAAACTGTTTCTCAAGTCTGCTCTCTCATCTCCAGTTATCCATTGCTGTCTCTCTGCTGGTCTCTTGGCCAAGTCTCACGTGAGTTGGAGGCATGTCGCACTGCATTGCAATAAGGGTGAATCGTATCATATTGCAATAGTAGTTGCTTCTTGTCTATCTTTAATGTATCGAATTGTTGGCAATGCATCAAGATGTGTATCACATCGCCTTAGAGATTTGCATCCCTAATACACACTGACAGCCACTGACACTCACTGATACCCGTTAACACCCAAGGATACCGTGACTGAGGGCTATAGACCAAACTGCACCCGGGTGTTTTGGGAGGGGGTGTCAGGGTGAGTGGTATTCGTGTGAATGCACTGCTTGCCACTGCAGGCTACATGGATTCCTGCAGGACTGAGCAAATTTTATAGGGTGAGGGTGGCTGATTAATGAGTGGGCAGGGCAACAATCAGTCAGGCAGCCAAGCAACCAATCAGCTGGGCATTCAAGCTTTCAGCCAGAATGACAGCCTCCGGAAGCTTCTTACCTTCAGCTGACCTTGATGCTCCGACTGCATGACTGCTCTCAGATCAGATTATGTGCAACTTGTTCATTGATAAAGAAGGACAGCAGAGAAGCAGCTCAGGCACCGTCTGATTGTTATTATGAATGTTTCAGCCTCACTCACACTGCCAGGTGTTAAAGGAGCACCCCCCCCCATGATCTTCTTCAAAGCACGGCCGTCACATGGGTCGTCTGATTGTATTGCAGGTCGTCTTGTTTCACCTCCTGAAATAGACTTCTGTGAAACCATGTCCTGTGAAGAGATTGATCAAACTGTCAGCTCCGTATTACCGGCAGCTGCTGAGACATTGTGGGAAAACACCAGTCTACCTGGAGAAATAAGGGTTGAAAAAGCAGATGACAGGGGCTGCAGCGTCCCTCCCCCAAAAAAGGTGAATGTGACGTAGCTGTTTGTGGGCAGCTGTGTCCAACTGACTGTTACTTGCCCTGCCCCAGACCACAAGGCACCCATGGAGACTGCAGTCGAATGTTTATTTTCCAAACTTCACATTCCATAAGGCAGCTGGTCTGAAGAGGATCCTCACAAATCCATATTGGCTTCAGCTACATCCCTGAAAAGCAGTGAGACCTCAGTGCTGAGAGGACTATGCTGGTTGGGACAATACAAGGTGATAGAAGACATCTCAGGGCTGGGGACCAGTAGTGAGAGGCCATTTTGATGGAGCCCCCGTTTAGGCTGCAGACAGACCTGGAGGCATGAGGAAAGGCGGCTGTCTGTAGGTGGGGCTTGTGGAGGGGGCAGTAGATGAGGCTGTGAAGGCATTTGTAGGAACACCATGCAGGCTGAGGGCGAGCCCGCCGTCGGCCAATCCCGTAGAGGAGAGGAAAGGAGAGAGAGATGGAGAAACCGAAGAGCGAAGAGACTGGGGCAGGGCTGAGAGTGAAGGAGGTGAAAAGGGAGGGAGGAGCAGAGCACATGCTTCAACGAGGGGAGGGGATTTTTTTAGGTAAAGGCTCCTCCCCTTTGCCCCTTTGGAGATGAGTATTTGTCAGTATTTAGGAGGAGTGACCATAACGGCGGGAAAACAAGTTATAGGAGGAAGAGAGGGAGAGAGAGAAGGAGAGAGAGAGGGAGAGAGAGAGACGAATAACTGGGTGGGGGGGGTGTGCCTAAATAAAAGAGCTCAAGTGAGCGAGGGAGTGGACAGTCACAGGCAGCGTGTTCAGCACTCTGGTGGAACATGGATGTGGGGCGTGAGGAGCGGGAGCACAGTGCAGCACTGGCGGCTCGTCCCCTGAGATCCTGATCCACCAGCATGCCTTCTGCCTCTTTCGGCCTGCCGGCGGCCCTGGCGGGCCGTGCGCGCACCTGGGTCTGCCTCTCCTGCATGTTCTGGGTGAGTGCCTTAAGTTGGCTGGGGTGGGAGGCATGGCTGGGGAACGGAGGGCATCCATCCTGCGCAAGATGCCCTGCGAGACCCCCCCGAGACTCCCTTCCCAGGCCGTCCGACTTTGGTGTGACCAGCTTGACACTAAGCTATTTCTGTCATGCCCTGTATAATTTAATCTGTTGCTCTTGTGCCGCTGCGGATGCTGTGTGTCCTGCCTGTGCCGGCCAGCTGTGGGAACCCTGGCTTCACCGCTCATCCCGCTTAGATGCAGTCGAATATAAAATTAGATTTGGATCCAGTCACCAGGCTCAGGAGCTTAGTGTGAAATGTCACCTTAAGGCACTGTCACCGACTAAGCTGGGGGTAAGCTTTATAGCGTATGTCTGTGTGTTTTTAAAGGCCAGACTGTGTGAGGGTGTGTCTTTGCGGAAGCCTTTCACCAACCTTATAATTGAAAAAGAATAAACTTTCTTTTTTTAGGACACTTGAGCCCACGAGCAAACACTGTGAGAGGATGGCATGGGTAATAGAGCAGGAGGAATCCTGAAGGCTCAGTGTCATAAAGCCCGTTCGGTGTCTTAGTATCTCACGCACAGAGTTAATGAGATACCTGTGTAAGCACGATGGGCCTGAAGAGCAGGACAAGGAGCGACATCCAATCCTGGGTGGGGGAGTAAGGTGGTACCTCCAGGCTCTGAATTATAGATGAGATCATGCCATTCTCAAGCTTTCTGCACATTTTGTCGAGATTTAGGAATCATCAAAAAAAGAAAGGTCAGCTCTAAGGAGGTAATCCATCCACCACGCTTTTTGTCCATTTTTATAATGAATGAATTCACAGAGGTGTATGAATGAGAGAAATTAAGGGAGTGGGATGATAAAGCTTGGTGCCATAGAGGTTGTGTCATTTCGGCAGATTGCGAGGTGTTCAGGCGACAGTTCAGTCTGAGGGGGAAAGTCATCTAACTACTAAACCAAACCTCACAGCTATATCTGCTAAACAGAAATAAGTATTGATGCCCCATGATCGATGCCCATTAGTGTCATTATGGATCCCTGGAGCAGTGAGGCAGGAATTGTTTAAATGCACTCTGCTATAAGGGGCTGTGATCTCCATGCGCATTGAGATACATAACGGTCCAGCCAGAAGATTCAGTTGGTCCTCCATCAGTGGACTATTGTTTAGTGCCAGGGACAAAGAGAGTGGGAGGTGTGGCACACGACATTGGGGTCAGGCAGGGCAGTCCCTCTGATCTCGCTCTTGATTGGCTACTTTAAGCACACCTCATTTGTCCATCATATAGACCTGTAATTGAATTGTAATGTTCATACCTGATCAGGCTATGTTAGAGGGCAGCAGGTGGTATGGTGGTTTGTGTCCCAGGAGTGGGCTTGCGTTATGTGTGTGTGAGGTGGGGGGGGGGCTCATTCCCTATCTCTGATGAGTATCCGGCTTCATAAATGGGTAAAGTGCCCGATATGAGCTATAAATACAGCCTGGACTGCTTCTGAACAAAGCTGTGATCAGAGTGGATCGAAGAGAAAGCTCCCGGCAGTTACTCAATATCCAACATTTTCAGTGAAAGTCACGGTGAGGTTCAGCAGCTCTATGACCGCCCCCCAGCCTGAAGGTTGGGCTGAGTTGTAGAGCTGAAGGATGCAGTTCAGTGATGGAGCTTGACTGAAGGTATCACTAACAGCACAAGCTGAGACCACATGTGGCTCCTCCAAAGCAATTCCTGAACTGAGAGCCGCACAGTCTGCCCCTGTCTTTGGTCTACAGGGTGTCCTGCCTCATCAATGCTGTTGCTCTCTGATGCACATATGAGGAAAGTCTTCCCTGAACGCTCACAAAGGAAATGCTGAGAGAGAGTGTGTGTTGCTTACAAGGGGAGCCACATCCCCTTGTAACTATGGGTTCAAGGCCGCTCAGCCCATCTTCTGAGGGCATGGTGACTTAGAATGCCATTGGTGCCAACCCAACCAACCCCCCTGGCAAAAAATGCCCCACCCATTAAATAGAGCTTGGTCGATGGTCTGCACTGAAAAGGTCAAGGTCAGAATAGAAGGTATGGGGAAGCTCTGTAATCTGAATCTTCTTCTAGGCAACTCTAGATGAGTTCTTCAGTGAAGCACCCTGCTTTTTAAATGGGTAACGCTGTTAGTTTGAATAAAGATACCTCTACTGACAATGATGTAATGAGGGGAGTTCATCATGTGCAAAAGTAGGAACAGGGATCATGGGTCATATATGGTCTATATTTAAAGTGTCCCAGGTCTTTTAGAATGGGACCATTAGAAGCTGAGATGTTTGTTGCTGTGATGAATTACTGAACACCATTAGGACAGTGGCTGCCTTCCCACCCGTTGACCTACTTTGAGCGAGACTGCAATGCTCAGCACAATTTTCCTGAGCAGGTTAGCTTTCCCCACAGTATGAACCATGCACCTCTCCTCTGTGAAGAACACTTAGCTTAAAGTGGAGCAGATGATGAAGAGCCTGATTAGCTATGATATTTTTTGCTGGGGGCTTTTGGAATGATGTAACCCATCGTAGTCATTGTGACCTTGAGATCTGAGAGATCCTCAGACCCCAAATGGGCCACCTGACTCACCCTGAAGTTCTCTGGCACCGATTAGTTAGATTATGTTGCACTCTCCAGCCTTCCAGGTGTCAGGTGCTGGAGCATGCTAGTTGTTCACATAGCTAGTCATATGAAGACATGAAGACCATCAGTGGAGAAGTTGGAGGAGACATGCGTGCTATCTTTCAGTAGCTCAGTGTAACTACAGAACATCATTGATATGCTGGTGATAGATGCTGCAATTGTTTTTTTTGGATCAGCCCTATTCCTGGGTCACTGGATGACTGCCTCAGTTGGGGCCATGAATGCTGCGGGTGAGGGGCCACAAGCAGTGTTTGGAATGCCTTGGATAATCTTGTTCCCAAATGAAAACCACTGATTATCCTTCGTGAGAAGATTTGGTTACATTTCTCCAAATGGCTTACACTACCTACCCCCCCACCCTGACCCAAATGCACTGCTTTGCCCAAGAGAGGTGACACCACACAGGGAGGGAGGGATCTACTTCCTGTGGAAGCCTCGTAGTAGGAGCTTTAAGTACCACTTTTGAATAGAATCTGCCAAGGACGACGATGTACTGACCCCCCCATATCCCCCCCCCCCAAACCCCGGTTTGTAAAGTAACTCCAGTACAGGGCAGCTATACTGGTATCATCTCCTCTGTCTCACATTGAACCTGAGTAACCAGAGACGCACTGGGCTCTAGGTGGCCTGGTGCTGTGGGCTCATCATTTTGCCGCAGTTCCTCTGAGGATTCAACCACAGCTGGGATCTGGGATGGGTCTCCTGGAAGCAAAGTCACAGGAGGTTAGCTGGGCATTACAGGTCCACTAAAGACCAGCTGTGAGATTTGAGGAACTGGAGGTTTCTGGAGAGGCTGTCCAAGAGTGGCATCATACATCTAAGGCATCCAGTTTGCCATTGGCAGTGACACAACATTTATCACCACACAGCTCCTAACAATGGCTCATTCCAGCCCCTGATAGCAGCCATCCGTAGGCATGTGCAAACCCACAGGCCCCCTGAGCTATCCCAGTGACAACGCACTCTGGGGCTGTGGCCCACAGACAGGTCTGCTTCCACTGTTTTTTTCTCATCCGTGTTTCAGAAACACATGGTCATCAGTGGTGTTCACCACCACTCTAACCATGCATCTGTACGGGACCCATGAAGTTTGGCCCCTAAAGTGACTTTTTAAGTGTGTCCTCAGAAACAGCAAACTTGGCCTTGCCCTTGACTCACCGTTGAGCTGAATGTGAGGCTCTGCCTTTGCCTTACCTTCTCATAACCCCCCTCCCCCAGCCATGTGCAGTCCCAGATTCAGGTGGCTCGCCGCAGTACCCTACTTATACATGGGGAACCGCATTGTAGGAACCTGATTGGGAACTGTCTTGACCTGCTGTTTGTCATGCACAATCACACACACACAGACCCCAGTTGTTCCCTGCTATCGCGTGAGGCTCCATTTGCTGGTCTCTCCTGAGCTCTCACCAGCCTGATCTCCATGTCGCACCTCTAACAGCAGGTTCTGTTCATCAGAGCACAGAGGTGGGCTAAGGTTTGTTTTCGTCACTTACATCTCCCAGCATTCTACTCGGTAGATCATCCTGCACAGGAACAGGCCTGCAATCCTCAGGAGAGGCTAATTTTGAACCAGTTGAATAAGTGCTTACAGGAACTGGTGGCATGGGGCCAGGCCACAAGTCTCAGTTAGGGGGTGTGTGTGGCAAAGCGTGTGGGGATGTTGTGCCCATGAGCGGAAGGTCAGTGGTTCAAATCCTAGGGTTAGTAGAGTGCTTTTCTCAATTTTGAGCAAGGTCCCTAACCCTAATTGCTGCAGAGACTGGGTTATTCTGAATAAATAAAGCATCTGTACTTAAGTGTAAGGTGCTAAGACAAGAGGCACTACCTAGGCACCTAGGCAAGGTGACATACCTGGGGCTGCCTACCCGGTCAACGTGTTCACATTTTCTGAGTGTCATCGCCTGTTTCCTCAGCTACATGCCGGCAGGTTCATGTGCAGGAGCAGCTATATTAGATTAGGAAATGGTAAGGAAGATTAGCTAGGTTAGGAAACTATTCTTGAATTCAGGAGGGAACTGCAGCAGGGATGCACGTGACTCAAATTTAGAGATGCACCAATTGACCAGCCAGGGACCGGAATTGGGCACTTTTTGGTGTGCTCAGCCTGGACCAGGGACCAACCGGTAGATCTGTATGTTTTGGGTCATTATCCTGTTGGAGAACCCATGACGTGCGACTGAGCCTGAGCTTTCTGACACTGGGTAGTATGGTACTGTATCGCTCCAGGATGTCTTGGTATTCTTGAGACTTTATTGTGCCCTGCACAGGTTCAAGGTTCCCTGTGCCAGATGCAGCAAAGCAGCCCCAAAACCATACTGAACCCCCCTCCATGTTTCGCAATAGGTATGATGCTCTTTTCTTTTAAAGTTTTATTTTTCCTTCTGTAAACATAGAGCTGATGTGACTGGCCAAAAAGCTTCAGTTTTGTCTCATCAGTCTAAAGGACATTCTCCCAGAAACTTTGGAGCCTGTCAACATGCATTTTGGCTAATTACATTCAGGGTTTTTTATGTTTTTCTGTCAATAGTGGAACCCTCCTGGGTCTTCTTCCATGGAGCCCATTATTGTTCAAAATGTGACAGATGATGCAATCAGAAAGTGACATACCTTGGTCTTGGAGCTCAGTTTGAATGGTTATGGATGGTGTCCTTGGCTCTTTTTCTACCATCCGCACTACCCTTCTGATCAACTGGGGTTGCATTTCCTATTGCATCCACGTTCTGGGAGGCTGGCTATAGTCCAATGAACCTTATACTTTTTAATAATATTGCCAACTGTGGTCACAGGAACATGAGGCTACTTGGAGTCTTATAGCCTCTTCTTTTAACATGGCTATCTAATTTTCTCTCTGAGCCCCTCAGACAGTTCGCTCCATTGCTTTATCTGGTCCATGTTCAGTGTGGTGCACACAGTAATACCAAACAACACAGTAGCATGTTCTTTCTCATTAAATAGGCTGAATGGATGATGAAAAGCTTGGATAAATAGCCTCTCTAGGGGTACCAACAAATCTGTCCATACTGTTTTAGCAGATCTTTGTAAAATAAACAACAAATCATTTCTTTTCACATTTTTTTGTTTATCTCATACTAATGGCATGCAGGTATACATTAGACAATTGCTTTTAATTGAATGACTTTTCAGGAGAAATGAAGCATTGTTTCAATGAGCTGTAAGGGTACCAACAAATTTGTCCATGTCTGTATTTCCAATACCGAACCTGGCTGTTTTACGCAAAAAATATGACAAATAAAGTTAAGCAACCAGAAGAAATGTTCTGATTTGGATGTAATTTGGTACACGTGCAGACCAGCGATGGGTATGTAAATGTTTTGAATTGCAAGGAGCTGGCATGTCTTGTCACTCAGCTACACAGCATTACCAGCAATTGACAGAGTTTGATAGGGGTTGCACTGTGGGTTTACATGAGGCCAGGTGGTCATATCGTGCAATTGTTCAGCATGTGGGGCATGCAGATGTTGAAACCAATTGCCAATTGGCATATGAGGGCACCCACACACGTCATGAAGGTTCTGGTCGACCCAATACAGATCATACCAAGGGAGGATTGTTGTATTGTGCAGCAAGCATTACAGAACCCCATGACATCTGCGCCTGCCATCTGGACAAAGGTATTGGGCTCTCTACAACACCCTATGTCATCCCGCATTGTGTCTCGACGACTGTCATCAGCTGGACTACGAGTTCACCATCCCATGCGTAGGCTGCCGTTAACACCAGCACAGAGATGGTTATGTTTGGAGTGGTGCCATAACCGGGAGACATGGACTGGTGATGAGTGCCGTCGTACCATGATCAGTGATGAATCTCGTTTCTGCATTACCACGGATGACCATCATCTGCGCGTATGGTGGTGCCGAGGGGAGAAGACCAATCCTGCCAATGTTGTGGAGAGACACACCTACATTGACTTCTGGTAGTGATTCAGGGGACCCTGAGGGCACAGCACTACATCCTGCATCCGCATGTCTTACCCCTCCTGAGACAGCACCCTGACACAGACTTTCAAAAAGACTATGTCCAACCACACACCGCATGTGTTTCTATGGACTGCCTGTGTCATGCTGAGGTCCTTCAATGGACAGCCAGGTCCCCTGATTTTTCCCCAATCAGTAATGTGTAGGATCAGCTCAGACATCAACTCAGAATAAGTGCCCATCTGCAGGATCTTGAGGGCCAGTTACAACAGCTGTGGCCCAACTTACCACAGGAGAGGATACAACAGCTGTATTACTCCCTTCCACACTGTATCGCATGTATCCGGGCCCAGGGTGGTGCCACCCCTCACTTGGGACCAGTAGTGTGCCCATACTGCCAACTCTGTTGTCAGTTTGATCTGATATTATAATCAGATAATGTACAGCAGCTCATTTTCAGTTTATTGTTATTTGTACCTCTTTCCAATCACAGAGAATTTTATTTTGAGACTTTTTTAAGTGAGAGAAGATCTTGTCACTTTAGGGTAATTTATTTGGGGTTAAGATTGACATGTTCTTTTTATTATGAAAATAAAATTTTGCACTGAAAAAAAGTTGATTTATGTTTGTACAGTATATGCTGCCAATTATAGTTCTTAGAAAGAAAATCGGAACCAGCAAAAATCTGTATCAGCAGGTCACACTTGGACTAAAATCGGAAATTGGAATCGGCCAAGAAAATTGCAGTCGGTGCATCTCTAATGCAATCATCTGCTCAAAAGTCAAAAATAAAAAGTGATACTTTTCAGAATGAAAGGTGTCTGCTGTATCATTCTGAGTAAAGGGGGATATGGGTTGCTCCCCAAACTCTTTATTAATCCCCTCTTTGGTCTTCTGCCCACCCCAACAGCCAGAGGAGTTTGACTCAGTCCACTCACACACCTTCCGGGCGAAGACCTTCAAGAGGAGCAAGCAGTGTGGCATGTGCAAGCAGACCCTCTTCGGGGACGGGCTGGTCTGTCGAGGTGAGTGATATGCTGGTGCTGTGTCGTGTGCTCCTGTTTTAACATCACTGATGGTTCAGTCAAAATGTTTCAGGATGGTGGGCATGACTGTCATGGGAAGGAGAGTCAGCTGACCAGAGCTTTCATTCCCATTAATTCTACCTGTCCCTCATTCGCAAAAGGACAATTCCTATGGTTTCTTTCTTTAGTGTTATAAAGTACACTTAAATGAGCTATAAACAGCCGATGTCCTGTATGCACTATGAAAAGCAAGGATAATTCTGTCAAGATGGCAGGGTGAAATGCATGATGGGACAAGGCAGGAAGCAGGTTTCGGTGAATGACCTCACAGCAATGTTTCTCTCTTGATCAGCTACTTCGCTCCACTGTTCCTGCTGGTTATTTGTAGCCCGGCTGTGATGTGCAGTGGCTAGTGTTTCATTCTGCCATTGGAGGGAATGCTGATAGCAGTGGGAGTACCGTCAGGATGTCTCGGTGGCCTGCGTGGCATTATCCCAGATAAAGCTGTCCTGATGAGAGAGTGTTACGCGTGCAAACCAAAGCAGGGAAAGTGGGACGCTTAGATGCTTCCTAGCAGAGCAGAGTCAGCAGACTCTGAGGCATTATCTTCCATGGGTTTCTAGTTGGCACAGGAAGTGTCAGCAGTTGTGTACCTAAGTGATTAAAAACCCCCTCCCTGCCTCCAGGCTAATTTTTAGCACCCTGAGTCATTTGTCTGCTTTCCAGCTTTATGAACTGGGCAGCCTTCACTACGAGTGCAAAGTGAACATATGACGTGGTGATAATCCACACAGTACAGCACCATATACTGTATGTGTAAGCTGTAGGTAAATCACACATAACATGTGCTGTTAACACATAGATAACCCATGCAGAGTCCTCAGGCACCTCCAAAAGCAGCTTTGATTAGCCTGGAGACAGATGCTTATAGTAACATTCCCATTTTCAAAACCCTGAAGACACTGAGGATGAGGGTATTTAAGGAAAAACAGAAATCCTGAGAGGCCTGAGACTTTGTAGAGGACTGGACTGTCGGTTATGGAACATAACTATTGAACTATGAAAGCATTGTCCCAATTTGTAATATAAATATAAAAATGTTGTGATTTTACAGAGGACAGATGTGTTTGTTACTCACTCATTGCAGCTCATGTACAAGACGCATATACCCATAAATCAAGGTTTCTCAACCCAGTCCTCGGGGACCACCAGACGGTCCACGTTTTTGCTCTCTCCCAATTGGCAGGGAATTGGGAGAGAGCAAAAACATGGACCGTCTGGTGGTCCCCGAGGACCGGGTTGAGAAACCCTGCCATAAATGGTCATATTTACATTTCTGTGGGGGCTTCCCGTGTCTCGTGGTCATCAGTATTTCGCCAGTATTTCTCTGATTAGATTAGGACCACTGGAGCCTCTTTCAGTCCAAAAGCAGCAAACATACTGAAACTTCTCCAGGAGAAGAATGAGTTCTCCAGACTCCAGTTACTGTACGCTGTTTAAGCAGAACAGTGAGATTTTCCTCCATGAATGCTGACCACATTAGTCGTAAAGTATGTAAATATTCTTCAGTTTCATACAGTTTGGTGCATAGCTTCCTCTGCCTGATGAGTTTGTGTATGATGTTTCTGTGATTTTAAGCTGCCTAGTGGACACTATCATCACAATATTTCAAATAATAAGCTGAAACATAGAAAAAAATATATGAAATACTTTTTGTGCAAGTTCAGGGTTCAATTGCACAATTGAATTAAGGAAATATCTGTATTGTGACACCATCCAATTTATCCATCGTCCCATCTTCCACCCACAGATCGACATGGGGCCATGTAACATACTCAATACTAATTCCTCAATATGAGTTAGCATATGGCTATGGCAGAGTTATGCCATGTATGCCAGCCTTAGCATACTGCTAGCAGGGAAGCTATCAAATGGGGAGGTTTAAGTCATAGTATAAGCATGGAGAGAGTGGTAGCATGTTGAGAACACAGCCCTGTTTCATAGCTTAAATTCTATACCATGGATGGGATTGTTGTTGCCACACAATGCCACTAGATGGCAGCAGGCTAGAGAGTACTGTAATACACACATTACCAACATTATTTTGATTTAAGATGTTTTATTGGCCATGTGCAACAAGTGTACTGTAATGCTGACTCGCGCAGTGCAATGCAAGTAACACAAACAGCTAGCCTCTAGGACTGTAAAAATATCATACATTTTTCTGCTATATCAGACCAACGCTGTGTTTTTATTGTGACTACTAAGATTTATTTACTGTAAATAATAATTGTGTCTTTTAATTATTATTATTATTAATATTATTAATAATATTTGTTACATCTTTGTGAAATCTAACGGAGTACAGCAAACTGTGGTCTGAGGGCAGGGGGGTGTACTGTCTGGCAGAACCCAGCCCAGTCCGTTGGGACCAGGGACCCATTACAAGCAGCCCGAGTGTAGGAATTCCTATCCCAATCCCCCTCCCCTCCATCCACCCACTCACTGGACAGATCATGAGCCCTCCCTCCCTGAGTGTGCCTGAAGAAGAGCATGGGTCACAGAGAGTTACAGCCATAAACTTTTAAAGCATGACAAGTAAAGTAAAAAAACTTATGTGCTCCACCTAAAGTGGGGACTGGTTCACATTTCACTGCTGTTGAAATGTTTATGTTTATGTTTTGTCTCCCCCTTCCAGTTTGCCGGTTAACATGCCACAAGAGGTGTGAGGTGAAGGTAAGTGGACGGCGTCTCTGACATGTCGAGCGGGATGGACCAGGCCTTGATGGGCTATCTGTCCCTTATATGGAGTAGGTGTGGCTATATGGAGGGGGTGGAGTTTGGGGGGTGCATTTTACTTCTCCCTGCTCTGTGCTCTCGCCTAATGTTCCACCCTGGAATATCTCTGGGATGCGCAAACAGCAGTAGTGTTTGATTTGGCTGTAGCATGGCATTCTCTGACTCTTCCATCCTAAAAATACACAACCCCACGCCACCCCACCTCACCAAGTACACCGACAGAGGGGGTCATAATATCATGTGCTGGTTTTTGGACATGTCAGAATAAGAGATGAATACTGAGGAAAGTGAGATGAGGAGGGAAAGGAGGCTCTGCATGCCAGGTGGGTGGGAGAATGGGGCAGCGCCCCCTACTGGCATCACTTATAGCCATGTCTGCTATTGCCTTCTTTGTGTAGCCACCACATGCATTCAGCATTGACTATTCTGCATGGGTGCATTTTTCCCATTGCATATATTAATGAGCTACAGCTACAGTACCTCAGATCACCTATAGAGGGAAGTCAGTTTGCAGCCCTTCTGTTCCCTCTGTGCCATCTCTCCCACTCATACTTGTGTCTCTCATGACTACCTAACATGTACATGTGCAGATGTATTGAATGGTCGAGAGTGATCTCATTTAAACAACCATTTCAGAGCAGGTGCTATCTGAAGCATGGACGATTGAGATCATCAAAGCTCAGACTGGCAGTGATCAGAAATGGGGGGGGGGGGGAGGAGGGTGGTTCTCTTTTCAAATTAACCTGTGTTAAAGGCCGGAAGACAAATTATGTGCAACTCGACACACTCTGCATGACAACACCACACACCTAGTTTGGGACTGTTATCTGAGTGAGGTGAATAAGAGTCCTGTATGTTTGCAGAGGGAATCTGTAATGGCCGTTTAAAATGATGAACTCCATGTTCTGAGGAATCATCATGTGAGAACTTGAACAAACAGCCAGTTAGCAGGGCTGAGACTTTTGCCCATGGTCTTGCATTCCGCAGCCCCCTACTGATGGTTTATGAACTTAGGCTACTCCCTTAATGTCATCTCCATTATGTGAATGAATGGCTGCCTTTGATTGGCTTGGAATTGTTTTACTGTCCACACAATGCATTCCTTTATTTGCTAAGAGATCTAAGAGATGGGGGGTGTTGAGAGAGTGACCCCCCCACAGGAGTTCCTGGGATGGGGTTTAAAGATGAATCAGCTGCTGTCCACACAGACAGTCGTTTTCACACCAAAAGAATCTCTGCACTTCAAAATGTCTGAAGGGCGTGAGAGCTGATGCTCTTGTAATATTTATTTCGGTTAATTGTCTGGCTCTGTCAACGTTTCATGTCTAAACACCCTGGTCCAGAAAAGTCGATCTAAGCCACCTTAGCAGGTGCTGTGCATTAATCTGTATTCTGAGCTGAGCAGAGCTTCTGCAGACTCCTGTACAGCTCTGTGTAACTGAAAGAAGCTGGAAAAGTCTTTGATCCCCCCTGCACAGCTGCGGCATCCAGCCAAATGTAAGCTAGAGGGAAGTGGTGATGAAACAGTGGTAACCTACAGGGAGCGTTGTCCTGCACAGCCATCACAACCTCCTGTGAAACCAGAAGTGGGTCAGTGGCTGGTATCACCAAGGCCCACCTGAAGGCAGTTACAGGGCAAGATGACAGGCAATCCGATGAGGGGATCCAGGAAGTGTGAAGGTTTCACTGGATGGGGGCTCTGGTTATTATGAGGGTGGCGTATGGCAGCCTTCGTGATGGTAGGAGGAATCTAGGAACCCCATTTTCTAGGCATGATGCACTTTGGTGTCTCAATCGGAGGGCTGAGGGTGCCTTCCCTTGACCTGAACATGCTTGCAATCATTCACCTTGTGTTCCTTCATGCCTGGGTGTGATTTCTGCACTTAGCTGTGAGCTCAGGATTGAGGGCATTGGCGCTCACCAGTAATGCCCTTTGCTAAGCTTCGGCACAGTGCCACCCCATGCAGGGGGTGTCAATCCTCCACAGACTCTAAATTGTCCCCCCCCACCTTACAGTATCATGGATGTGTATCTGTTACTGAATTGCCAGCAGGCCTCTTGAGGGCTGCACAATTAATCATAAAACCATCATCTCAATTCTCAACTCAAGCATTCCACAATTCTGCATTCTCTTTAAAGGGCACTTTCCCCCCATTCCAGGTACATTAATTTCAACACTTAAAGTACCAAGACTATGGTACTTCAGGGTGTTTCCACTGGCGTAAAAACTGGTACCAGCACTGAATGACATCACGTCATGAAGCAGGGTTTTTGTATTGAATAAAAAAAATGGCTATATATTATACGGCTGGCTGATGTTATATTAATACCAACATCGCATGTTGTCATGAGCCAAAGACGACAGAGGCAGGAGCAAACATAAGTGCAAACAATAAGGGGTTTGTTAGGTCAACTGAACAGGGCTAACAGTGGTTAGTACAGAAGCACAAATTAATAAGACAAATTAGTGACAGGTGTGGCTCATTAGAACCACACTGGGGAAAGAACAAGGGGGCAGGAAGGCAGGGCATGACAGTTGTGCATGTGCCAGTTAGCTAGATTAGGATCAGGCTTTTTCTTACTTTCAGTTCTGTATACAGACATTATAGCGCAGGAAGTTTAAGTTTCGCTAAAACATTTTTAGTCTGTCAGAGGAATAAAAATATCAAGTGTTGCAATCTTAATTATTATTCCTTTTCAAGATTATCTAGTATATGTTTTAAAATCAGTTTAAAGATGACCTCCGCTGCTTTTGCATGAGTGCTGCATGCATTCTCTGAGACAATCATAATCATTTTCATCTTTGCTATTTAAATCACTCCTAGATTGGTTTTTGAGAAATTTATGTTGAACTCCTTTTTTGTTTTATAAATGCCCAAATATTTATTACAACAAAATTACATTGCAATACTTAGAAATTTTCCAATGCCGTGCTGTCCTAGTGTATTATAGAAAATACTTTATTTCTTTCCATGCTATCCTGATCTCTGGTTTTTCCGACCAGATTGCAGTTAAAGCTGGGGTCACTTCATTTGTCCACGCATCCATTATTATTATTATTATTATTATTATTTATATATTTTTTTTCCCTTATTTATCATCCTTTTCTGAGTTCATAACTGTTTTCAAGACAGTGGTTTTATTGCGTTTCAGAGGCAGGCTATTTGCATAACTGTTTGACAAAGAAAGCATTCCAAGTCCCAACCCAAAGTACCGAAATACCAAAAAGGTATCCCACTGGAACTTTTGGTACTGGAACTTTTGGTATGGGTGTTTTGGTTACCTTAATTGAATGGCCAATTGAGCATTTCCTTTCTGTTGTCAGAAGCTGATATACCGGTCTTGGATCAATCATATCTGTATGTTTGGCACAGTCATGTTTTGTTGTGTTTCATTTTGTATCGTGATCTCAATTCTAAGCAAAAGTATCGTGATTCGTTTTCAGAGTTGTGCAGCCCTAGGTCTCTTCCTGCTACTGCTGGCACACTCACGTAAATGTTGTAACTGTGAAACATGGATGAGTGGGAAGGCTCACGTGTGCAGCCCCCTGCCCCCTTGAAGTGTGGGGAATATGGCACCGCGGGAAAGCAGCCAGTGGGTTAGGGGGAGTGAGGAGTGTGTGAGTGGCACAGGTGCTGAATGCAGGGCTTGTGCTGCTACATGCAGACCCTTCCGCAGAGGGCACTGTGAGGCCAGAGCAGAGGATCGACAGGCATAGCAGGGAGGCTGTGCCCAGACGGAACCAAGGTGCACAGAATGTCCTCTATTGCAAATCCCATTAAAAGGTCCGCAGCTTTCAGGAAAATTTATGACTGTCTTCACACGGAGTATCATGAAGATGTCTGTGTGCTGTGAAATAGACAGAGACTCTATGCCACTGAGGCTTGCATGGGAATGTGGAGTATGACCTGGTGTTCCACGTTGTCCACTCCACCCAGCAATCTGGGGCTTGTTTAGCTGTGTGCTGGTGCCCGCTCCAACATGCAGGGCTGGTAAATAATGAGGACCCCCAGCTGAATATAGACCCCCGTAAATCTCACACAGTGAGGTGTTCCTCATTATGATCCATGTTAATGTGCTCATCAGCTGACAGCTTTACCATTGTTTTCATTTATCATTGATTATAGGAGCCCGAGACGTTTCAGGCTACAGTATGTGATCTCAGCATCCCTGTTCACCATCTGGGTGGCAAGTATCAGTCTGAAGGGTGAGGGGGCAGGGCCAGGACAAATAGAGGGCAGCTGGGGTGGGTGGTGCCTGTGATGATAAGGGGGTGGGGTCAGGACAAGCAAAGGATACCTGGGGTGGGTGGGGACCAGAACACACAGAGAGTACCTGGGGTGAGTGTTACCTATGTTTAGTAAGTGGGGTGTGGTCAGGAGCCTTTTATGAGTTAAATATTTTCTAAGCTGGTTTTAAGTGTTGAATGGGAACAGATAGTATGCTTTCAGGGTGATTCAGATACTCGTAGTTTTCCAGGCCCCCTTCCTGCTTTTGTAGTATGATAATCATGCTCTGAGGTTCTCCTGCCTTTACATTCTTACAGCTACTCACGACACCATGGCAGGTAAGGGTATGACATTATGACACATCACTCTATATGGGACCAGGTGCTTGTGGAGTTCTGGGTACCACATAGTGGCTGGGGTGTGGGTAGCTGCCTTTTCTGTCACTCGCACTGCAGCACTGCCCCTTCATGCCCTTTTTAGGAAGTGTAACTTGGTGTGCTGCTTTTGCCTGCTGTTTTAATGTTTTTTTCCTCTCTACATGCATGCACATGGAGAGAGGGAGGGTACGGGGCAGAGAGAGAGAGAGAGACGGAGGGAGGAGAGATTAGGGGGTAGGGGAGAGACGGAGGGAGGAGAGGGTGGGAGAGGAAAAGGCAAATAGGAATAGTCTGCAGTCACACTTCCCAGATCTCTGTGCCTCCATACTTC